CTGAGAATACCATGGATAGAACATGTGAGCAAGTTTTAAGGAAAATGAGTACAAAAACAAAGACATTTAAACTTAGAAAGAGACAGCTGAAATATTTAGGATGCATAATGAGGAAAGAGAGCTTAGTAAATTTGACACTCACAAGACAGATTGAAGGCAAGAGGGAAACAGCAAGTAACTTACCTAACAGGCTTCACTAAATGGATGACAAAATAATGAGGGGATGATAATAATAATAAAAAAGACAAAAGAGCTAAAAGATAGGAAATTGCAAGGAGTCCTTCTTCTTCAATGGTCTGTGTTTCTTACACAGAACACTGAAGAAGAAGAAGAAGAAGAAGAAGAAGAAGAAGGAAGAGGAGGAGGAGGAGGAGGAGGAGGAGGAGAAATACATTGGTTCAATCGAACCAGTTTCTTTGTCTTTGTAGATTATATCCCGAAATTTCCCAAAGTCTTATTTTCTTGTCTCCATTTCAGTATCAGTTATCCAGATTGTTTGAATCTTAGACAAGGTTTTACTATTTGTATGAATAGATTTTATCAAACTAGTTTCCTTTTCTTTTGTATATATATCAGTAGGCTGCGGTAGATTACTGGGTTTATAGTCTAATGACGTACAGAAGTATTAATTTTACACAATGAATGTTTTTTTTCCAATATAATCACCTTGGTGAATGCATTTAAAGCAACGCTTCTTCAATAAATGTCACATAAATCAAACATTAAGCAAACTCCACATTAAGGTCCACACCTAGAAGCGACAGACTGTTTTATGCTTGAATACAATCTTTAGGTCTGAAGATAGCGTTCAACCATGAAACAGGCTGTCGCCGCTCAGTGTCCAGATTTATATTTACATACGCTCTATCCCTGATATTGTGAAATTTTACCCATAAATACAGCATAAATTAAAATAATATTATATATATATATATATATATATATATATATATATATGATAAAAAATATTGTTTTAATTTATGCTACATTTATGGGTACCCACTTATATATATATATATATATATATATATATATATATATATATATATATATATATATATATATATATATATATATATATATATATATATATATATATAGGGGGATAGATAGATAGTAGTGGATAGCTGCTCGGATTGTGGAATCGGAGATGCGAGTTCGAATTCCAGGTGACTTCATTACATTCACTTACATGCTCATACCCTTGGGAAAGGTATTAATCCTCCTCTTCTTCCAGTTATGGGTAAATAGCAGGACAGATTGGGTTGTCTAGGAGAAGGACACCTCTGAATTCAAAACATGCGGAGGGTCGTTTGGGGAGCTTATGGCACGTAGAGCACCAGGTTTCTGTATTCGACTCTTCATAAAGTGTGGATTGTTCTGCACAAAGCCTTTAGCACTATAATCAAATCATATCTGCTGGTGTCTAGCCTGTTGGTTTCTAGGGACGACGAGAGAGTCCATCACAGAAATATAAAGAGAGAGAGAGAGAAAGAGTGAGAGAGAGATAGAGAGAGAGGGAGTGAGTTTTAAATTGATTTTTAATGAAACTATTTCTTATTACTATCTATAAATCTTATTTTATATGACTCATACTAAAGATAAACGTGACTACCAACAGAAACCGACCCATCAAAAAAAACACTCTTACTGGTCCACGGGAGATGGCTAAATTGCCTACTCAGGGAATGCAATTCTTTTTTTGAGACTTCTTCGAATTTTTGTCTGATAACTTCATTTTCGTACCTGAAAATTAAACACATTTGTAATTTTTGTTTCTTTTAAATCCGACATTATTTATTATTACGAAAAGCTACTAAAAATAATTTTCCGTTTTAAGATTAATAAGTAGTTAAAAGTTATATAAAAAGGCGCTCGCGTTATATTTTTCAACTATCTTTTACAGCTGTAGGCATCGCAGAAAAACATTAGATAAACTTTTAGCAGTCAACACGTTAATATATTAAGTAAACACTATCGCTGTTAAAAATTGCATTCCTGAGGTATTTATACTTCAAGTAAATAATATTTGTTGAAAATCAAATTAATTATACTTTAAATCAGTTAATAATCTTTAAATAAAGTTTCAGAAAAGTATATTTTTAGATTTTATAATAAAGAGAATTATACTGCGGTGTTAGATGGCTAAAAATGGTGCTAATCAGTTAATTAAAAAAAAAAAAAAAAAAAACAGAACAAAAAACAGAACAAAAAACACTTCCAGTCAATTTAAATTAGTTTTAAAATACATCAAAGTATTTTGCATATTAGAAATATTAAATTTAACCTATAAGCGTGAAATTAAAACCAAAATAAAAATTTCAAGAAAGATTTTTCATTTTTTAAATTCATTTAAAACCTTAGGTATCGTGTTTTTGTGGGGTACTTATTTCTCTCTCTCTCTCTCTCTCTCTCTCTATCTATCTATCTATCTATCTATCTATCTATATATATATACCTACATATATATTACTTCAAAGGTTATATTTAGCGGATACCAGTCTTTGAATATATGCCGCATTTTTTAAACAATGTGTATTATGTCTAGCAGTTTGCGCCCTTGAGAAAACTTAATAAAGAAATATGCTCTCCGGCAGGGTAAGGACATTCGTCCCCCTTTGTAGGAGAAACCACCGCCTGACACAGCGTGCTCTTGACTGCTCGCCCGTTGAGATCGGCGAGAAGTGTGAGAGAAGAAACTATTAGTATAGAACTTACGGTTATATATAACAAGTTCAAGACTAAAACTACTGCTAATCTAGTACTACACTTGAATTCATCGAGGTACCAAAGAGGAAAGCTCATCAAAAAAACTGAGATGAAAATATTAGTAGAAAAGTCACAGGGAAGACACCTTACGACGGTGAGAAAGTGATTGAAGCTGAGATGTCAGGTCTAGCTCGACAATATTGGGAATTCTTCTTTTGATTTTGTCAAGAATCTCAAGATACATAGCAGAAACAGCAGACCAAATGCGGTAACAATATTCAATTCAAGGGTCAGGGACAAGACAGATTCAGGTGAGAAAAAAAGTGAACCAACTTTCCTCGCAGGAGATCGAGCATTTGTTTCAATATAATCGTTTTAATTCAGGTCAATGGAAAATGTTAGGCCTAAAAGGCACAATGAGTTACTCTTTTGGAGTTTAGCATCAGCCATGATGGATGAAAAACATAGATGCTTTGTGACCGTATATTAATACTAGGTAGTGTTAGTAGCTTCTGGCCTTGTGCCAGACTAAAACAAGATGAGTAACTCAAGAAAACCAGTTTTTCCTTCTTTATTATTTACATTTAACAGAAATTGATGAGAAATAAACTGACTAGATAGCACTTTTAAAATACAGTGTAACCCAGATATAAGAGAAACCCGGATATAAGAGAAACCCGGATATAAGAGAGATTGTCTCTGGTCCCAAATTAGAGCCTGTGTTAATGTATATAAAATAGACCAAACCCGGATATAAGAGAAACCCGGATATAAGAGACTTCTTCTCTGGTCCCGACAACTCTCTTACATCCGGGTTAAACTGTATTTATTATTTTACTTCTACACATGCATATGTACCAGTTGAATACCTGACAGAAGGCAGGGTTTCATTAAAAAAAAAAAAAAATGACGACTGAAAATGGTTCAAATTTTCGAAAAAAAATCTAAACAAACAATACAGTTTATTATCTTTAAGTATTTCAAGATAATTACAAAGTTTTTTTTTTTTAAATTTTCAAGCACAGTTCGTTTGGTTAGAGTTATTCTATTTTAAAATATTTTGATAGAAAATGTTTACATTTTTTTCATCCTATAATGATATTATAGTCATGTTCGCATATATATAAAGGTTCACTGTATCGTGCGAGATAATTTTTCTCTCCAGAATCCATCTTACATATTCATTCGTCGAAGTCTACCATTCGTTCATGCATAGAATATTGCTACCACATATGGTCCGGTGTCTTTGTTATTTACCTTTAGCTCCTTGATAAAATCCAAAGAAGAATCAGCAATATTATCTGTCCTGAACTGGCGGCTCGGCTTCAATCACTTTCCCACCGCCGTAAGGTCTCCTCTCAGTGACGTTTCTATGAATACTTTCCTAGTAATTGTTCGGTAACTAGAGTTTTTTTTTTGTTTTTAAATTTAAGCGCGGTCCTAGACTGGCGTCGAGATCACATCAATTTACACTTGAGCTGGCTGCATGTAACCGGAAGTTCTATGCTAACAGTTTCTTATCTCGCACTTTTTGTTTGTAGAACTCCCTTTCGGCTCCTTGCTTTCCACTCAACTTTAATCTACAAAAATTTAAGCACAATGTCAATTGCTATCTACTGTCCTCTTGATTACTCTTTTCTCTTCACATTCATTATTAATGTTTCTGTTCTTTATTCTTCCACACCCCCGTAACCCCCTTTTGTCTTAGTGGCTTTTCTGTCTTGCATGAAACCGACTAAAAAAAACAAAAAACAAAACTGGCTATAACTATTCATGAAATCGTGCTGAGAGCGTATTGTTTATATTCAGGTCTTTCAAGGTGTGTCCGTGAATTTTATGTGAAAGATCTGCAACCAGTTAGCGTAAGCGCAGAGTGTCTGAACTTGGCACAATTCTAGCTTCATTCATAAAGGAAAGAAAACATTTTCTTTATTCATTCATCTGTATAAATAAGACGCTTACTATCAGTGTCTAGTAAAGTTAGGCTAATACTGCATAAATTCACGAGAGGCGAAGAAGGTTATATTACGCCAGCTTTTCAAATAAAAAGGTCATGTCTGCTTAGAAAATCAGCATCCGAAATTCTCGCTTTCTGCCTGGAATCAAACACCTGTGATGAATTCGTAGTTATTACTACCATCGAGGCGGTGTAATGTTTAGGAAGCTTGTCTAGCTAGAACAATTACGACTGAGTAGTGAGTTCGATCCTCACTGGGTGCCCCATACTTTCGGCCTTGTGCCATATCTAAACTACGTTTCCTACCATGAAATAGGCCACTAATTCTTTGGGCTTACGGCCACAGCACATTGAAACACCGCTTTCCGTACGATCACCGAATTTAAGCAAAGTCGAGCCTGGTTAGTATCTAGATGGGTGACCGCTTGGGAATATCAAGTGCTGTAAGTTTAGATGTGTGGGTGGTATAATGGATAATGGTTCGATATTGTGAATCGGAGAGCCGAGATCCAATTCCAGTTGGGTTCGTTATATTCACTTACGAGCAAAGTAAAGTGTGAAAGTTGTGAATTCATCTCTTCTTCCCCCCACCCCGTACCTCTTCTCCTCCTCAAGCAATGGGTTAATTAGTAGGACTTTTATCACTAAAAAAACGTTATTATTTCCACAATTAAAAACTAAAATGAAATAAAAAATTGCGTGCAAAATCTTTAGATTTCGGCATTAGGTAACCCATGGAGATTTTGATATGCCTTTAAACAAAAAAAACAAAAAAACAAAAAAAACAAAACAAAAAAAACAAAATAAAAATAAAAAAAGCAAACAAAAAATAAATAAAAACAAAAAACAAAAACAAAAAACAAAAACAAACTAATTGCTTGTTCCTATTTACTCACGGTGTGTGTGATGCATTTTCACAGGATGACTTTCTTAGATTGTAATCATCTTTTGGTAGATAATAAGGGTTTAGTGATACAAATTTTGCTTATTAACCCATAGCTGGGGCGAGAATAGATGGATTCATACCTTTCCCAAGGGTATTTGCACGTATGTCAATATAACGAATCCAACTGGGATTGAAACTCGGCACTTCGATTAACAATTCCGAGTCATTATCCATGATACCATCCGCACACCCAACCTTAGAGCATCTAGTTTTCCCAAGGGTTCATCCATCTAGGTACTGACCAGGCTCAATGTTGCTTAACTTCGCTGATCGTACGGGAACCAGTGTTTTATTGTGCTGTGGCCGTAAGCCTTGTAATCATGGTCTCAGTATCGTCTGAATTTCATCATTTGTCTGACGGTTGTTGCTTTCAGATTTTTATGATTTCGCCACTTGCAACAGCATGAATATCTATATCTATTGATTATAATTTTCTAAGAGCTTCGGTTGCTCGTAAGGTTGTCAGTTTGAGACACAAATAACAAATTGGGCGGCATTTTTAAAAACACAGTGTTACTAAATTTTGAATTAACTTTCTTCGCATGAGCATTCCAAGTTATCCTAGATTATCTAAAACGTAGCAAGCAGCGAAATTCTGAATTTAATAAGACTGGGATTTCAAATGTACCTCAGTTTAGTGATAATGCATGGGAGTTGGTCTACGAGATACTCCCCCAATTAAAATGATGTAATAATGCATTGGTAGTAAAACTGGAAATAATATCAATTTATTGCTTCCTCGAAAAAGTTGTAAAAATAAGAAAATGCAATGCCACCAACAGCTTGAGTAGCTAACATAGAAAGGTGCTACATGCGATTCGCTATAGGAAGACGATTAGTATTAGGGGCCTTGGAGAACGGAATTCTTTTCTTCAAGTTTGACTAGGCCGCCTCCTTTCTTTTGTTCAGGAAGAATAGTCGTCTGTTCGTAACTGGAGACTTTTGATTAGCTATATCAGTCATCTGACCAGCCAATCCATGTAAATGTTTATTACGGCTAATTTTAACTCAAATCTTAGTTGTATTATAATTTCGTTTCGCGAAACTTGTCACTTTGTGAGTTTCTGTGATATAAAAACAGGGCGGAATACGCGAAGAGATAATAAAATAACATTTTATATGGACTTATTTTTTTTTTTTTTCGGCGAAGATGAGAACGAGGAATTAGCAACATTTTTTTTATCGGTAGAATGTTATCTTCAAGGGAGCTTGAATTGTTTGCAGTCTGTAGTGTTTCAATATTTAATCTGAACTCTTAGAGATGTTTCTCTTTCTGTTGTGTGCGACGAACGAACACACGACGAGATTTAATTTTCTGCGCCACACTCCACACTCAACACACGTGCACGTGCATTGAGTGTCATTGCAACTCCATCAGCTGAATTACAAAAATGCGAACAAGTTAGTGACAGACTCTCAATGGGGTCCCTTTCCATAAATGGCCCACGAAAATTAGTGATGAAATGTTTAGCTCTACTCTATATTGAGCCCTCTTTTAAATTAAATGTTACGGACAGTGGAATTATATTCCATTTGCTCATTTTACCTATATATATATATATATATATATATATATATATATATATATATATATATATATATATATGTGTGTGTGTGTGTGTGTGTGTGTATATATTTGTAGAAAATGATATATGCATTTTATATAGCAAAATACCTTGATGAAAAATTATATGTAAATTTTTCTGATGAAAGAATAAGTATCCATATGATATATTTTAATGGGCTTATTTCTTTATGTTAGAGTGACAGTCGTTATGAATCAAACGTATGCGTATACACCCTGTGAAGGAAAAGGAGAAAACCTTTCGCAGAGATCAGCACAAGTTTCTTTTTAATTGTATATGTCAAGCAATATTCTTACACGGCGGTAAACTATAACCAAAATACGCTTCGTTGACATGTGTTTCATTTTAGCTAAAAAAAAGAAAAGATGTCTGTTCGCGTACACATCCCATAAATCTGTCCTGATTTTGCAAATTCCAAATGAAATTAGTCTTTATAAATTCAATTCCACAAATGGAGGAAAAACTGGAAAAAACGCGGAAGGGAACAAAATTTTCTCATTAATCTTTTGAATCGTCAACAAACGATTAAATCTTTTACGCACTCTTAAGCATGAATTTGATGAAAAAAGGACTGTTTTCATGATTAAGTGACATAAAAGTCCTTGCTTCAAACATTTATAACTTTTGCACTATATACATTTTCCCCCTTTCTTAAAAATGCTTATGCAAGCCCAGAATGAGTTTGTGATTTTCATGCTGAAACTCGTTCAAGACGCTTTGACCCAATAACGCCCATTGAAGGACTGTATCAGCACAATGTGAAACTTATCTTTTAAGAGACGGGGACACAAATCTATCTTTTAAAATGTGAAGGCAATAAGGTCTCAAAGAAATTCCGCTCACAACTTTATATATATATATATATATATATATATATATATATATATATGTGTGTGTGTGTGTGTGTGTGTGTGTGTGTTTATGTGCGTGTGCGTGTTTGTGTATATGTATATATATATATATATATATATATATGTGTGTGTGTGTGTTTATGTGCGTGTGTGTGTTTGTTTATATATATATATATATATATATATATATATATATATATTAGTGAAATCTATGACAAAGTAGAATTTTTTTTCGAATAACGCGTTTCATCGTTCAGAAGTTTATCGACTAAAGTGATGTTGACGTTGATGTGACTACATATGCGAATGAAGGAGAGGGGTTGGTGAAATTGTAATCTTTTAGATTTATTTTTTTAAAACCACTTCTAAAGCAATAAAAGAATTAATTAATATCTGTGTTAATTATACTTTTATTTATTTTATTTTGAATTTTATACTCATTTATTTTTTTTTACATATTTGTAGTTTTTGTATCCGATTTCATTATAATTATATACTGTTCTCTACATTGCCATTAACTATCAAACTGTTTAGTCGCCCCCTCCCCGACCATTTTAATTTGCTTAATTAAATTGTTCATATATATATATATATATATATATATATATGTGAGTGTGTGTGTGTGTGTGATATATATATATATATATATATATATATATATATATATATATATATATATATATATATATATATATTTTGAAAAATGTCATTCGACTTATTATTTTTGGTGACTGGCGAATAACACTACTGAATTCCTTAGACACCCCCCAAAAAAAAAAATAAATAAATCAAAAAAGAAAATATAGAAAAAGAAAGAGAAACAGTCTTCTCTATATCCGGGCATGTTTTGGAGCTGTTCCAATCAAATCATGAAGTGAAACTTGCCCTGAGCGGCTACTCGTCTACCTACTTTCGTACTAAAGCAGGTGTCCCCCCAGGGCCCCTTCCTTGGTCCTACGCTGTTTTTCATCTTCATTAACAACCTTTCTGATGATATCAGCCCTCAACTTGGCATCAACACTGACGACACTACTATTTACTCTTGCCTAGATAGTAAAGCTGATGAGACAGACAAGGTCAAAATATCGGCTGATGTACAAAACGACCTCAAGATCGTTGTTAACTGGGGCAAAAGATGGCTTGTCAATTTTAACGCCTAAAAGCTAAATTTCTCTCTATTCATCATCTGAGATCACTCTCTGCCTTCCATCAGCATAGATGATGTTATCCTCCAGGAAAGTGACTCATTACGCCTTCTCAGGCTAACGTTCTCACTTGACATGAGGTGGAAAGACTACATTGAATCCGTTGGTAGATCAGCTGCTAAAAAGGCGGTTTACTGTGTTGGGCGACACAATTTTCTCTCCGGAATCTATCCTGCATATCTATATCTATCATTTGTCCATGCTTAGAATATTGTTGTGATATGTTCCGATGCCCCTGGAGCTCTTTGATAAAATCAAAAGAAGAATCAGCAACATTATTGGTCCTGATCTGGCGGCTAAGCTTCAGTCACTTGCACACCGCCGTAAGTTTGTCTCTCTGTGCCTTTTATATAAATACTTTCATGGCAATTGTTCAGATGAGCTCTTCGTTATGGTACTTAGACTGTATGAATTTAAGCACAATACTGGACTGGCGGTGAGATTTCATCACAGTTCAGTTAGCTAGAGGTAGCCGTAACTTCTATGCTGACAGTTTCTTATTTCGCATTTCTCTCGCTTGTGGAACTCCCCCCCCCCCGCAGCTCCATGCTTTCCAGCCAACTTTAATCTGCAAAAATTTAAATGCAATGTCAATCACTATCTACTGTCCTCCTGAATGCTCTTTTCTCTTTCTCCTCATTAATAATATTTCTGTTCCTAATTCATCCACACTCTGTAACCAATTGCATGCTAGTTGCTGCACTGAGTTGCTTGGGGTGATATCAATTAAAAAAAGATATACAACAAAATAATAATAGGCTAAAACTTGAAGGGGGAATTTACTATATCACTCGCAATAATTACTACAAGAAATACATAGGAGAAACCTCAAGGAATTTAAATAAAATATTATATGAACACAAAAGGGATCTTTTACAAAACAACACACTCAGTGTATTAGCTGCTCACCATAAAGAGACTGACCCTAAATTTAATTTAAAAATTTTTATTTTAATTAAAAGCAAAAAATACTTTACTAATGTTATATATCCCCCTCGTGCTGCGGTCTCCATGAGATAATAATCTCACACAGCCGGCGATCGCTAGTTGTTTTATTCAGAGATGAAAGAACCCCAACAAAAGGAATTTTAAACTTATGTATTTTATTAAACACGTCAACGTGTACATTTTTAACGAGACAGTGGAGTCGCTCTCTCATCCCACTGGGGCACAGCTCAAACACGACAGAGAATGCGTCTACATTGTTCGACTTGTAAGAAACAACTGTCTAAAAACTTACACTACCTATCGTTCCCACGCTAGTTCAGCCAATTAAAATCGACTTCCTTTGTTTTGTCATTACCTTGACCTAAAAAGTCAAAATAAGGAAGTCAGAGCAGAACACATTTCTCTAAAAAATAATAATCTGCTGAACTATTATTTAACATTAACATCAAAGTGTATAGAAATTACTTTAATTTCTAGATCATCCACTGTAAATTTACGTCCGGGTTATTATAGAATGTCACCTTGGCAGGTTTCCTATTTGAAGTGAAAAACGCACAAAAAATGAATGAAATTGTCTAGACTGTATTCCACCCGACACACACATAAAGCTTAAAGTTTAAAATTTCAACGTCTTTTCTCCTTCGTGCGTATGTGCAATCACATTAATGTAAACATTACTTTAGTCCAATGACGCCCTAAATGACGAAACGCGTCGCACG